ATTTATTTATTACTTCTGTCAAGAATTCGTTTGAAAGTGTATCGTTTAAAAAGTGTCAATAACATTTAATTATTAATTTAATTCAGATAAACGAAGCAAAAAAAAAGGGAAATGAAACGAGGTTTTATTGTAACAATTATTTGGGAAGTTTTATCTTTAACAGCATTCGTTTTAAATTTAACTGCTAATAGTAGTGATCGTTGGTGGGTTAATGCTAAAGATGGTGGAGAAAAAACTTTTATAAGAGCTGGTTTATGGCAAGTTTGTTTTAATATGTATCGTCATCGTTTTGATTATTATGGAAAAATCTATCATGGTTGTTGGTGGTAATTAAATTAATTCGATATTTAATTTCAATTAAAATTTTTTTTTATTACAGGCTTTTCTCTCCGGAAATTCGTCTTTTACGTTCATGGATTACAAATAATTGGCTTCGTTGGGTACAAACATTATCTACACTTTCATTAATAACATCGTTTTTTGCTGTTATTGCTGCTTTACTTGTTTTACGTAATACCGAAGGTTTTAAATCATCAAAACAAGTTCTTACAGCTGCAATATTACATGGTCTCGCTGGAGTATTAATGTTAGCTACAGTTATTTTATTTGGTGTTGATGGTAAACGACGTGATTGGATGATGAATTGGCAATTTAATTGGTTTGGTTGGAGTTTTCAAATAGCTATTGTTAGTTGTATTATTCATTTAGCAACAGCATTCATGGCTGGTTATCAAGGATCAAATAAGTAAGATGATAAATGAAAAATTTCAAAAATTCATGTTTTTAAATTTTATTCTAATAGATATTTATATGATATGTACGATTATGAACGAGCTCATGAAGAATTAGAAAATCGTTCAACACTAAAAGCTCTTCCATTACCTATGTATTCAAGTCGTCCACCATCGGAACGTGGTTTATCATCAAATGGAGGAAGTAAAACACATCTTCATCAATATGCTTAAACTTAGATAAAACAAAAACAAAAGGAATCTCTTGAATTTTTGTATATAGGATCTGTGTTTTTTTTATATACATTCCATTTTTTTTCTTCGTATTTGCTTTTTATAAGCGCTTTATTTACTCATTTTATATAATTATCGTCTGATCTGCTAAATTAGATATTGTTTAATCGAAATTTTTTTTGAATCGCTTTGTTTTT